TCAGAATGAAGCATATTTTTTGTTTTGTTTTTGCAAGGCTAATCTTTCTCTTTCTTCTTGTGTTTTCTCTTTCTTTCTTTCTTTCTTTCTTTCTTTCTTTCTTTCTTTCTTTCTTTCTTTCTTCTTTTTCTAGATACAGTCTTGCTCTGTAATTCAGGCTGGCCTTGAACTCACCCAGGCTGGCCTCAAACTCACAGCAATCCTTTTGCCTCATCCCCCAAATACTGGGATTGCAGGCGCAGGTTACCATGCCCAGCACTGCAAGGCTACTATATCATGCAAGGTGGAGTTGTGTACTCCACTCAGAAATCTCCATTCCTTTCTTTTTTGTAATGGATTATGGACATTTTTGCTTATTACCTAGGTATATTAATTTGTTAGAAATTATACAACATTGGTATTCTATTACTCCTTCATTTATTTATTGGAACACTGTTATAAAAAGAAAATGTCCTGTCAACATAAGGTATAGTTCCCATCTTGATTCTTTTCAATTACTACCAGTTTTCAAAGTAATGAGTTAATCCAGTAGCTCTTTCCAACAAAGATCATTGAGTTTGAATTTTTAAATATCATTGTAAGTTCATGGGTTTTTTTTCTTTCTGAGACAGGGTCTTGCTATGCAGCTCGGGCTGGCCTTGAGCTCACTTTGTAGCCCAGATTGGTCTTGACCTTGCAAAGATCCTCCTGCCTCAGCCTCCTGAGTGCTGAGATTACAGGTGTGCACCACCATGCCCAGACTGTAAATTCATGGACTTAAACATATTTGATGTGTTTTAATCTATTACACATAATACTCATTTTGATAATCAAATTGGCTCAAATTTGGCGACTGGTAACTACTATATTCTAGTTGTTCTGGATTCATTTTGATATAATCTTAATAGTTTCTGAAAGTTTCCTTGTTTAACTTGGACAATCCCTGTCCAAAACCTGGAATCACCTGTGTCTTCAAGAAATCCTGATTTCTTTGGATGGGAAAAGAATATTAGATAGCACAACTTAGACACTAAAGGTGTTCAGTGCTACTGGGCCATTGTTTCCAGGCCTTTGCAGGATAAACCTAGGAATATTTTTTAGGATAAAATGATCATGAGCTCAGTTATTCTTGCAATTTAAATTTGGAATTGTAGAGTTTTTTGCTTAACTTCAATATAAATCATTATATTTTTATTCCACATAAAAAATTCTGCTTCTCCATGTGGCGGGGAGTGCCGGCCTTTGGGCCAGCCCCTAGCCATGCAGGTACCCAGGAGGTGGGCAGCCAGCACCTGGAAAGCTGTGTGGTGGCGCGCGCTGGCATGCACCAGCCCTCATACCAGCCACCACCACGTGGTCAAGAACTATCATGGCACAGAGAAGCAATGACACAGTTGGCCCATCATGCGCTGGCCGCAGAGGCCCACCCGTGGACGTGCGTGAATCATCCCGACATGGAGAAACCCCTGGGAATACATGCCACACAACGGGTCACTCTTGCCCCTGCCATTGAGAACCAGAAAGGTCCAGAGTGAGCGGAGGAGCAGCTGCTGAACAAGGACTCAGAGAACACGAGAATACAGATGACACCCGAAGACTCAGAGCTCTAGTTGACTGGAGTTATGAGAACCGTTCAGAAGCTGGAATCCAGGAGGACCTCGTGCAATACTGGGGGAGATCCCCTGGAAGCCATTCTTCCCCTGACAGTACAGGCTGTGGTGGAGGAGCGTGTGGAACTCCAGAGATGTCTGCACCGAGATTCCTGCTGCCTGTGCTGACAGTTGGGGAGAGGACACTAACTGGTTGCGGGGTGCCAATGCACTGCGTGGCTGGACAGAAAAAGCTACAAAAAATGGCTTTCACCCCAGATGGCTCACTTGAGATGTTAGTAAGAATTGCCTCCTGCCGTTTTCTCATAGTCAAATTTTATAGCTGTGACGAGGTGGGGGCCAAGCAGAGAAAACAACGAGACTGACAAAAAGCAGCTGCTTTTGCTGTAGCACTAAGAGAAACAGACCCTAAGTCTGATTCTCGGGGCCCCAAGAAGAACTCGATGACTACATTCATCTGCTACCACTGTTAAAAGCCAGGCCACCTCAGGAGGAACTGCCCTAAGAAGCCCCCTGGGCCATGCACTGATTGTAAAGGTGACTACTGGAGATCAGTCTGCCCTCTGAAGCGGAGGCCCCAGAGTTCAGACCCATCCTACCAGTTAGTCTAACAGGAATGAGTGGTCCTGGGGCATACTCTGCCTTCTCCCCTCTGGCCAGACTATCTCCATGGAGGAGCCCCAGGTAATCATGACTACAGAGGAAAAAGAAAACAGCCTGTTGCTAGACACAGGTGCAAGTCTCTCGGTCCTTCTTTTCAACCCTGGCCTTCCTTCCAGCTGTCACACCTCAGTGACAGGAGTCACTGGTGAGGAGGTAATACGTTATTTTTCACAGCCCTTAGGCTATAACTCCTTGTTAGATCTTTCTTGCATATCTCTGTCTTCCTGAGAAACCACTTTGAAGATACCACCATGTATTACAGCAGCCATTGATATTTTCCTACTAATCTGTCCACAGCTCTGTAATGTCTGTATTGTTCCTATGCTATTTTGTAAATGGATGTATGTTTATTACTATGTGTTTCCTACAACAACCATTGAGAATAGTCAATGATTATTCAATTGGTCACTCATATATAGCTCTATTTATTTTCTTTAGAAACCGCTTTGAAGATACCAAAGTATAGTACAACAACCATTGATAATCTCCTACCACTTTTGTCTGTAACTCACTAGTATTTGTCTATTTGTTTTCCTGAGAAACTATCTTGTAGATAACAATATGTAAAACAACAACCATTGATAATTTCCTACCACTTTGTCTGCAATTCGGTAAGCCCCCCTATTACTATGCTATCCTTCTTTTACTCTTTAAAATAATAATTAAAAAAAATTAGATGGGGGTAAAAACAGTGAAGTATTTGAAGCCATCAACATTACAAATGATAAAGAAGTTGTTAACATTCTCAAGCCAGTAGAAAAGTAGAAAGTTAAGCATTAAATAAAGATTTTAGAAAATAAAAAAAATCTGCTTCTCAATAACATGGACATTATTAGTCATTTATTTTGTTGTTGTTGTTGTTTGTTTATTTGTTTGTTTGAGACAGAGTCTTGCTATGTAGTTCAGGCTGGCCTTGAACTCATTATGTAACCCAGGCTAGCTTGAACTCATTGCAGTCCTCCTTGCCTCAGCCTCCTGAATGCTGATATGACATGAGCACCACCACATCCAGCTTTACTCATTTGTTTTATTCCACAATATAGCCCAAGTAGTTCTGGAATAATGTCAACACACACACACACACACGCACACACACACACAAAACACACACAAAATAATGCCAACACTACCACCAATAATATGAATACTTTAAAATCATTTTGCACTTATTTTTGTTATTAGAATATATTCCATTTTGTATGTTACAGTCAAGTTATTGTGTTTTAAAGTCGCTTAAATACATTAGTTGGGGACATTTTGCATTTGTGTAATAAAACTCTGTGATATGGCCTCGTGCAATTGAAAGAAAAACTAAATTTTTTAGAAAACTACATATATATGTGCCAGGCATGGTGGTGCACACCTCTAATGCCAGCTACTTGGGATGCTGAAGTAGGAGAATTGAAAGTTCAAGGCCAGGCTACATCTTAGAGACCTTGTCTCCAAATAAACAAATCAAAAGGCCTGGGAATGTATCTCAGTGCTCCCTAGGTTCAATCTCCAATACTACAAAAACTAATTAAGGGATGATGGTAAATGCCTGTAATCACAGTATTCTGGGAGGCTGAAGCAGGAGGATCACAATTTAATCTCAAAAAAATAAAAATTTTAAAAAGGACTAGGGACGTAGCTCAATGCGAAGACCCAGGATGCAATTTCCATTATGAGGGGGTGGAGTGTGCATGTCTGAGAAGAGTGCTGTGTGGACCTACATATTCTGAACAAATGTAGAGCTGATCAGTATAGATGCCTCAGTGACATTATTTGTAGTACCCTTGTGTTAATTTCTCTTGGCAAGTGCTACAAGATGGTGATCCCAGATAGGCCTGTGGTTGCACAAAACATCACATGGCTAAATTTCCTGGTTACAATTTTTTTTTTTTTTTTGACACAGGGTCTCACTGTGTAGTTCAGGTTGGTCTTGAGTTCACGATAAGTGCTGGGATTATAGGCATGCAGCACCATGCCCAGCTACAATATCTTAAAAAGACAGAAAAGTAAACTTCTGAATCTTTTAAAGTTTCTCTTTCCAACTCTCCTGCCCTATGGATTGCTAACGTTCAAAAAAAAAAAAAAAAAACCCCACATCCTTGCTTTTGTTGGTTTTCTCTCCCAGCAACTCTGAGCTCATATGCTTTGTGCAATGATGAAGGGGAGGGAGGAAGAAGTGCTGTGCAAACTAAGGTAATGAAAATAGAGGAGGCAGGGGTATAGACAGCTGCAAGAATCTGAGCTAGAGATTCTGAACAACCCCTCATCCTAAACAACTCAGAGCTCAGATTTCTTCTCTGGACAGGTGGCTTTTTTAGTTCCTGAAATACTCTGCAAAGATGGGGGAGGAGCTGTGAACTACCTCTGCTGTGAATTTTTACAGTCAGCTTCGTCCCAGATATAATACATAGAAACTACAAGTACTGCGCAGTATAGAAGTGGTAAGTGGAAGATATGCATTTGTCCATTGTAATTTTTAAAGGCCAGGAGCTCATTATGGAGAATACTGGAGGGATTCCTGGAGAAGGCAGTAACTACAGAGACCTATAAGCTGGAACTGGATATCTGACTTGCCTCTCTCCCCCAGACGCACTTGGCACTCAGTTCTCCATATTCTGTCCAACCTTCCTACCTCCCCACTGCCTCCACTCCCACACCCTACTGCCACCAATGTTCCTGGAATTTTGGACTTAGCTATTTTTAAAACCGTCAACTCAGTAGCCACCTCCCTCCCCCGCTCAGCTGTCCGGTCCTCTGGCAAGCCATGTCCTCCCCCTTCCCCTCCACAAAACCTTCTCTGGCTTCCTGACCTCAGGGAGACTGCAGCCCGCCTGCGGCTGCGAAGCTGGGGAAAACAGGAAGAAAGAGCCGGGGGACCCCTGGCTGAAACAAGCCAGCAGAATAAGCAACCATGGCTGAAGAATTGGATATCAGAGTAATGTCTGACCACTGGAAACAGTAAGTCAAAATGAGATTGCAATTACTTTGAAAAGCTTTTGGATTGAGGTACGACTTTTGTAAAATTGCAGACACCTACTTGAATGTCTCTGGTCCAAAAGGTAGGATGTCTCTTGACCAGTGTGCCCCAATCCCCATTTCTCCTCTGTTACATTTCTTCCTGGTCTCTGACTTCAAGCTATTTGAAGTTTAAAGTTGTCTCTCCTCCAGCAGTCTTAGTTAACTATACCTTGTTAACTCAAGATATGTGGTTTTTGGTTTGGTTTTGGCGGTAGTGCTGGGGATCAAACCCAAGGCCTTGTGTAAACCCAGGGCCTTGCACATGCTAACCATGCACTTTTCCACTGAGCTTTACCCTAAACTCCCACTTCAAGATTTGTCCTAAAGCTTTAGGAGGAGTCCTCTATGCCCTCTGCTCTGTAGTTTTCTCGTCAAGGCCAAATTTAACATTCTTCTACTCTACCCCTACTTAGCAATACTCTTCATATGAGCTTCCAAGGATACTCCTTGTTGTATATGATTTCTCCCATAACTCCATTCCCTTTGTCCTATTCTCCCTCCTGCAGGACCCTTCCCATAATTTGGCAGGAGGGAGATAAGGAATTAGCCTCTCCCCAACCAGCACCCTCAAAAGACTAGGAACTTCTGAATTTGCAAAGGACAGAATAATGGAAAGAGTGGTTTTTCAGTTAGGTTTGGAAAAACACAAGAATTGTCAGCTTCGAAGAAAACAAATATTGAATCACATGCTTTGCTTGCAGCCATTATTCTATGAGTAGACGGATTATAACTGTAGGCCTTTAGAGCAGATGGAAGAGACTGGCTCCCTTTTCGTTTGAAGACTAACGTTCTAGAAGGGATAAGTATTCCACCTCTACTCTTTTTGTGTGTGCTTCTGACACAAAGGAGAAAAAGAAACGAATGACTTCTGGAGGACATCTCCTGTGATGGGAGGGACCGCAAGAGATGTATTTCTGAAGTATTTTCAGATCCTAATTCTGTTGGGGAACCCATTAGGATGACCGAGATCTAACCTATCCCCATGATTCCTCCAAACATATCTGCTGTTTGGTAGCTCAGGATGGGGCAATACAGTGGACTCTGCCTCCCCCAAGTTCACTCAACCTTCCCTCCGCCCCCACCTAGAGGTATTGCACAAGGGACCTGAGAGTGGCCCAGGAGCAGAGGACAGAGGCTTACCAGCCACACTGTAGTTTGGGGAGCCTCATTCTCCCCAGTCTCCAGTCTGCTCATCCTTTTCTTGATCTCCCCAGATTCTCTTCACACCATCCTGACCAATCTTCAACTCTTCTCTTTTCCCATGCCCAGCCAAATTTCTTTTTTCAGTCACTTCCAAGACTGCCGGTCACAATTCACTAGGTAGGAAGGTCATCAGCTGGGAAGAACCGGCGCCGGGGGGGACCTGGCTGGATAGCATGGGGGATCCGAGTCGGTCCCCTAGTCCCCGGTCCCCCCATGGCAGTCCCCCAACTCTAAGCACTCTCACTCTCCTGCTGCTCCTCTGTGGACATGGTAAGGAAGGGTCAGGGAAGGGGCTGGGGAAGCCTAGAGGGCAGCATAGGGGTGGGGTGTGAGCGCGTGTGAGCTAAGAGATGCGGGTGTAAGTGCTTGTATTCGGTTGCCGCCCTCTCGAGGAGGGTACTTTCCATTTAACTTGGGGGAGGCGCTGGGCCAGCAGGGAGAAGAGATGAGGGGACGGTCCATCTTCAGCAAGACCGACCGAGGAGAGAACCAGGGAGCTGGGGCTGGGGGCTGAGGACGGCCTCGGCTGGGCTGTCGGGGCAGCTGCACCCTCTGCTGAGGTTCGGGAGAGTCAGGAGCGCACTCCCTGGCGGGGTTGGGGGCCGTCTCACCACCCTCTCCCTTCCGTCCTCAGCTCACTCTCAGTGCAAGATCCTCCGCTGCAATGCCGAGTACGTGTCGTCTACCCTGAGCCTCAGAGGAGGGGGTTCGCCGGGAGCTCCGCGGAGAGCCGGCGCGGGCCGGGGCGGCGGGCCGGGCTCGGGCGGCCTCTGCCGAGCCCTGCGCTCCTACGCGCTCTGCACGCGGCGCACCGCCCGCACGTGCCGCGGGGACCTGGCCTTCCACTCGGCGGTGCACGGCATCGAGGACCTGATGATCCAGCACAACTGCTCCCGCCAGGGCCCCACGGCCCCGCCCCCGCCCCGGGGTCCCGCCCTGCCGGGCGCCGGCCCCGACCCCTGCGACTACGAAGGCCGCTTCTCACGGCTGCACGGGCGTTCCCCGGGCTTTCTGCACTGCGCCTCCTTCGGGGACCCCCATGTGCGCAGCTTCCACCACCACTTTCACACGTGCCGCGTCCAAGGAGCTTGGCCCCTGCTGGATAACGACTTCCTTTTTGTCCAGGCCACCAGCTCCCCCGTGGCATCGGGGGCCAACGCTACCACCACACGGAAGGTAGGGACTCAGTTTTCCTCCTAGCCCACCAGCAGGATCCTCTCTGGGTCACCTCCGGGTACCAGCCCCTTCCCATCCCCGCTGTGTCTGCACAGCTGCCTTTCCTTTCTTCCTGCACCACCCTTGTGCCGCTTCCTCCTAGCACGCACTGCACATCAGTGTCCCTGGAGGCAAGTTTCACTCTAGTGCGGAAAACACTGTAGAAGAAGCCGGCAGTAGGGCAGCTAGGGCGTTTCAGAAGGGATGCTTTTCCTTCTCTCTGGGACTTGTTGAGACCAAAAAATAGAGAGAGGGATGGCCTAGCGATGAGGCGATACTGGAACAGAATAGGAGAAGAGATGGAGGATCCAGGGCCATGAAGAAACCTTGCTCCTTACTTGGGGCAGATCTCTGACTATGTATAAGGCCTCACGGGGGGAGGCTACACTGAGCCCCAAATGAATTGTTTTCCCTCTTACCCTCACAGCTCACCGTCATATTTAAGAACATGCAGGAATGCATTGATCAGAAGGTCTACCAGGCTGAGGTGGACAATCTTCCTGCAGCCTTTGAAGACGGTTCTATCAATGGAGGTGACCGACCTGGAGGCTCAAGTTTGTCCATTAAAACTGCTAACCCTGGGAGCCATGTGGAGATCCGAGCTGCCTACATTGGCACAACCATAGTCATTCGGCAGACAGCTGGGCAGCTCTCCTTCTCCATCAAAGTGGCAGAGGATGTGGCCAGGGCCTTCTCAGCTGAGCAGGACCTGCAGCTCTGTGTTGGGGGGTGCCCCCCAAGTCAGCGACTGTCTCGCTCGGAGCGCAATCGTCGGGGAGCTATAACCCTAGATACTGCCAGACAGCTGTGCAAGGAAGGGCTTCCAGTTGAAGACGCGTACTTCCAGTCCTGTGTCTTTGATGTTTCAATCTCTGGTGACCCCAACTTTACCACAGCGGCTCAGGCAGCTCTGGAGGATGCCCGAGCCTTCCTGCCAGACTTAGAGAAGCTGCACCTCTTCCCCTCAGATGCAGGGACTCCTCTCTCCCCAGCAACCTTCCCAGGCCCACTTCTTTCAGGGCTATTTGTTCTGTGGCTTTGCATTCAGTAAGTAGACCAGCAGTCTCCTGACCAATTTGGAAATGACTGGGGACAAAGGTTGGCGTGAAAGAATACACAGAGCTGCTAAGAAAACGGTGGTGACTAAGAGATATGTGAAAAAAATGACACTTATCCAGAGCTGGGGTCCAGGGTTGAAATGATCACAGAATAAGGATTCTGGGCAAGGTGTTTGCATTCCGGATCGCTGGAGGACTCTTCACCAATTGTCTCAGTCCTATTTATAGTAAGCTGATTGTTCCAATCCATCTATTCCTGAGGTGGCCCTACAAGCTTGGGGGTTATATGGGTCCCTGATGATCAGTAAAGAATGTAAGCACTGATATTTGTAGAAGGCAAGAATTAAAAGAGAAAGACATGACCATTACCCATGAGAAACTGAAAAGAGGAAAAATAATTAGAGAAAAAAGTCTATTTGATGAATATGTATGGGTAAGGCATATTTGGCTTTCTTGGTTCAGAAATGAGGACACTGTTTGGGTCTGAGGTGAAGGGACTTGTATTTTGGAGAATTAAACAGATAGGATAGAAGCTATTATCCCCACTCCTAACTATTCTGTTATTAAAGCTATGAATTCTCCATACTGCCCTCTGTTGCCTATGTTGAATCTCTTCACAGATGTAGTTAGTAGAACAAAGACAATGTGCTCACCTCACCAAAAGAAGGCTCAGAAATGAGCAGCTCTTCTTCCAGTCCTCAGACAGTTTGTAGCTATTAGAGAAACAAAGCTGAGTCACACAAAACAGTGGATTGTGTAATATACTAAATTTTATGGTAAACTGGGTGTGGTGGTACATACCTGTAATCCAAGCACTCTGGGAGGCTGAGGCAGGAGGATCATGAGTTTAAGCCCAACATGAGCAATGTAGCAACTTAGTGATATCCTGCCTCAAAATTTTAAAAATTACTTTATTGGTTTTTTGAGACAGGGTCTCGATTCTTAGTGCAGGCTGGCCTTGAACTCACTGTGTAGGAGAATATGCTGCACTCCTGCCTTGGCTTTCTGAGTGCTGGGATTACAGGCGTGAGACACCACACCCAGCAAAAGAAAATTTTAAAAAAGGGTTGGAGATGTAGCTCAGTGCAAAGGTCCTGGGTTCTATCCCAGTACTGGAAAAAAGAAATTGTATGGTACTGTGAACTCAAATGGGAAGATGGGTGATGAGAAATAAAGAGGTAAGGCCTGACATAGTAGGACATGCCTGTAATCCCAGATACTTGGGAAGCTGAGGCAGGAGGATAGCAAGTTGGAGACTGCTCTAGATGACTCAGTGAGACCTTGTCTCAAAGGAAAATTTAAGAAAAGGACTGAAGCTATAGCTCAGTGGTGGAGTGCTTGCCTAACATGTGCAAAGGGCTGGGATCAATCCATAGTAGCACCCAGGTAAAAAAAGGTAATAAATGATAATAAAGGAGATTTGAAAATACTGGGCAGGATTTGAGTTAAGGACCTTCCAGGCAATAGAAATCATCGGGAGTTAAGGATAGGTTCATGGTTCAGTGAAGAAACCAGCAAAACTCAAATGCATACACAAGGAGTAATGAGATAGAAGGTTAGATAGACTCGGCGTGATGGAACACACCTGTAATACCAGCACTGAGGAGGCAGAGGCAGGAGGATCGCCTTGAGCTCAACACCAGCCTGACCTACATGGTGGGACCCTATCTCAAACAAACAGAAAGTTACATAGGCAGAGGTCAGATTACGAAGCACCTTGGAAGGGTAGTGAAGAACTTTAAATTTTATTAATAGCTAACATTTATTGAGAACTTAAAATTTGTCAGGCAGTGACTGGGTTTGATGGTGTACTCCTGTAATCTTAGCATTTAGAAGGCTGAGGCAGGAGAATTGCTGTGAGTTTGAACCCAGCCTTAGTTATATAGTGAGTTCAGGGCCAGCCCGAATTACATAGTAAGGCCTTGTCTCAAAAAAAAAAAAAAAAAAAAAAAAAAAAATCAGGCAATTCCAGGTTCAATCTATGCATTACACAAACATAAAAGTTCATTGATTTAATACTCATAGCTCTCTAAGGAAGGCAGCATTTTAATCTTTATTTTAATATAAGGAAACAAGTACAGATTTCCAGAAACTTTCTCTTGAGGCAGTTAGGATCACACAAGCCTGTAATCCCAAAATTCCAGGAGGCTGAGGCAGGAGGGTTTCAAGTTTGAGTCCAGACTGGGCAATTTAGTGATTTAGCAAAACCCTGTCTGAAAATGAAAAATAAGGGGATCTGGGGATGCAGTTCAGTGTGAAAACCCTGGATTCAATTACCAGTACAAAAAAAAAAAAAAAGAAATAAACTTTTCTACTGTCACACACACATACACAGCTAATAAATAACAGAGCCAGAGAAAATTCAGACAATTTGGACCTAGGAAATTAACTGTTAACCACTACTTTATATTGTCAAAGAGGTGGAGCAAGTAAAGATGCTGGCTGTGGAGCTAAGCAGAGAAGGAAGCTGAGGGGAGTCTCTTCTCATATGAAGCCAAAAAGTGAGAGTTGGGAAAGGGAAAAAAGCCCACCGTTTGAAGATAAAAGATGTTGGAGAGAGTAGGATGTGGTTCAGTGGCAGAGTACTTACCTAGTGTGTACAGGTCCCTGGGCTTGACCCTAGGACTAAAACAATCAAACAACAAACAGCCCCCACCCCCACCCTCACCCCAAAAGGAGAGAAGCTGTCCTAGTCCAGTGTGTTCTTGATTCAGCAAGCAAGTCCATCGAGAAACACGCTCACAAGAAAACCAAAAAAGCATGAACGAACAAAGCCTTATGGGAGCTGGCTGACAGATCATCTCTAACCCAGAGTCAGAGAAGATGTCTGTGTCACTCTGAGTCTCACCTTAGGTTTTAGTACATTTCAGGTTTCCATAGTAACTATTACTTCATTTTCAGGAACCTCACAAGAATACTGCATAATTAGCACAAAGTTTACCTTTCTCCCAGGAGGACAGACAAACAAATTCCAATGACCATAGTGGGTTAGCCTTTAACCTACTTCCCAATTTGCTATCTGTTCTGTTCCCAATTTATGGTTCCACTCTGCTTTTAAGCATGTTGATAAGGGGACTGGGGTGTAGAGGTGTCAACTACAGTTTAAGTGAACTTAAGTGACCTCTTTACTATGAAGCTAAAACCAGAAAAATGCAGTTTCTCTTGTCCTATCATTCTGAGTAATACTGCTACTCTGAACAAAATTACGAAGGAGATTACTTTTGTATTCAGCATCTGCCCCACCCCACCCCTCCTTCTGGTCTCAGGTACTCCATCATTGGGACCTGCTCTCCCTGACTTAATCACATATCTGATGGAGACCACTACGAAGCAGCCCTGAGCAGGACTTAAATTAACCAATGGGCTTTTCTGTCTGTCCAAGTCCTAGGCCCCTTGTCTGGAGATGGGCAGTGGACTAATAGTAAGTGAACCTCTGTGAGTCACTAATCCCTACTAAGGCCTGTAATGGCAGATGAAGCCGGAAAGCCTCAAAGGATAAGACAAGATCACAGCCAAGGACACCTGCATCCAACCTCAACTAAGTAAAGACTATAGCCTCAGGCATCTCACTCCTGGGTGGATTAATTTAATACCTTACTTGGAGAAGTCCTTGAGTGGTTCTGCCTGTCTTGAGTACTCCCTTCCCTGCTTCTGATAACTAAATACAGGCCACCCAGAGAAGGTCTTGGTCTTAGCCCTGAGAGAATCTTGAATTCTGTGAGAGGGCTTTGATCCTCCTGGAGCTCTGAAATCATTCCATTTGCCTCTTTTTATTCAGCCTGTGCCATACACTGGTTCAGGAGATTGCAGACTTGATCAGCCCAAAATAACTAAGAGTATTATTAACCCCATAGTTATGGATTATTATCTTCTTGTCCTCTTATGCACACCTGACAATCCTGCCCCCCAAACATGTAGCCACACTGTCCAGGGCCTACAGGACAGGGTGACCTAGCTGCCTTTTCAGATTTCTTCTACTATGCTTCATCCCCTATTTACCCTCCCCCCTCCACTGAGGACTGCGGGGCTCTGCAATTTCCTTAAAACACAGCCCTGATGCTTTTTAAAATAAACTTTAACCTGGAAAAGAGTTTGTTCTAATGCGAGAAAATGAAGGGCAGAGGCTAGGGTACTAGACTCAGGGATGAACCTAGACTTACAGATACTATAACCTTCTGGGTTTTTTTTGTTTTTGTTTTTGTTTTTTTTTTTCTTTTTTCTTGCCCTAGAAATTGAACTCAAGGCCTCCAACATGCCGGGAAAGGACTCTACCAGTGAGATGCATCTTCAGTGAACTTTTCCCCACCACCTTCTTTCTTTTTTAATTTTCATCCAGTACTGGGGATTGAACCCAGGAAATGCTGAGCTACAGCCCCAGTACTTTTTATTTTAGTTTGAGGCAATGTCTCACTAAATTGTTGAGACTGGGCTCAAACTTGTGACCCTCTTGCCTCAGCTTCCTGAGTAGTTGGGTTATAGGCTTGGGTCACTGTGCCTGCTGAACACAGGCATTTTAATGCTAACTTTTTTTTAAAAGAACAGCTCTTCTACTGGAGCTCTTAATTCAAGAGTAACTTTATCCCACAAATGTGATAATTCAAGTCGATCAAGAACTGTATGGCCAATTGGTGAATGATACTTATTTCCTGTTGTATAACATTCTTCCTTTGCTGAGACTTAGAGTTAGCCTTATTACCAGTGGAGTATTTAGCTCATATCCCAGCAAGGTGGCATACTCCTGCAATCCAAGCAGTCTGGAAACTTAGGCAGGAAAATAGCAAATTTGAGCCCAGTATAAGCAACTCTGAGATTTAGGTAGACTGTGTCCCAAAATTAAGAAAAAAAGCTAACAATGTAGCTTAGGACAAAGACCTTGAATTCAATCTTTATTTCAGAAAAAATTAAAAAGGGGCTCAAAATAA